TTCTCGATTGCGAATTATTGATATTACCTTTTATAAAAAAAAAGAGGATCAAAATAGAAAACATCTTTCGTTGAGAATAACCCTGAGATGACCCTTCAATAACAATACGTTTTGCCCATGCGCTAGCTTCATTAGCATAATTTATAACGATCAACAACAAACAACATGGCGGCCAAAATAGGTTGGATTTTGCAATCCCGCGATGAAAACGAAATAAACAAATGTTTTATAATTTTGTTTGGATATTTCATGTCGACAAGGTAAATAAAACATCTCTCATTTAATAAAACTGGTTCACTTGTTTATTTTGTTTTCGAGACGAGAGGACAGTGTTCTCCACAATCCAAATTAGCTGGTGGGCGGTCTAATTAGCATAAATTTGCATATTAATTTGCATATCATTTACATACAGCATTCTGGCATTTATGACATGAACTGCAATACACACTAAGTTATTTACTATTCTCTTTTTAATTTAATTTAATTGGAACATGTTACAATTTTTTGAAATACAAACAGATTGGTCACTATCAATATTTACGAAATGCAAAAAGTTTGAAATCGGTGATTTATGCGTTCGCAAATTATTCTGCGTTCATGAAATGCAATTCGAGTAACCAAGAGCAAGTACAAAACATAATTGAGTTATGTGGTGTTAAGCAAGGATGCAATATTTCTCCAACACTATTTAATATATTTCTGAATGACCTACCCGATTTATTTGGTAAAAAGGATGATGACCCAGTCTCGATTGGTAAAAAACATATAAATTGTATCCAATATGCAGATGATTTAGTATTGGTGTCTAAGACTCCCGAAGGTCTACAAAATTGTTTAAATAAACTAGCCAACTATTGTGAAAAATGGAGCCTTGTAGTAAACGTAAAGAAAACAAAAGTGATGGTTTTTAATACTGGCAACAGAATTCTTAAAAATCAAAATTTCTCAATTAATAACCAAAATATTACAGCAGTGGGTGAATTCTGTTATTTAGGCACTATATTCACACCAAATGGAAAATTTAAATCAAATTTATTAATGTTAAAAAACAAAGCAATGACGAACCATATTAAATCACAAAATGGTGTCCCCTTCACTGTGTTTAAAGTTATTTGACCAACTAATCTCACCAATTTTAATGTACGGGGCAGAAATCTGGGCTTGTGATTTATTAAAAGATGACAATGATCTTGAACACACCTGTAATCAATTTTATCGTTTTAGGCTTAGTGATCATGATTTAGAAATTGAAAGAGGCAGACAACAACGACCAAAAATTCCTGCGGATGAGCGATTTTGTAAAAAATGTAATACAAATTCAGTTGAGGACGAACAACATTTTATCCTAGATTGTGAATTTCTCAATAAAGAAAGAGGGGAGCTGTTTCAGGAAATAGGAATTAAAAATAAACTAAAGAAAACAGATAATTTCATTAAAATAATGACGTGCTTCATACCCCTGGCAAAGTTTCTAAATAAGGCAAAACAGAAATCAGGTATATGATAGCTATCACCTCTACATTGGGAGAATCCTGTAACTATCCTTAATTTGTTTTTCCTATTAAGCTTTTAACATCTTTTATTTTTAATTTTATCTTATAGTCTAGCTACTGTATTTTTTCTTATGATTTGTATTTTATTTACCATACTGCGCCCTCTGATGGCATAGTAGTGTAATAAAGTTATTATTATAATGTAGAAAACATACGAGATGATTTGCCCACGAATTCAAAACGGACAATTTGTCAAAACAAAATCCATAACATTTTTATTTGTGGCATCAGTACTCACCCGTGCCGACAGACGGTAAGATGCATTTACGCATGTACGGCCACGATACGTTGCGTTTTCACACATTGTTTTGGAATTCAAGAAAAAAATGCTAGCAATCGGCAAAATAAAAGAATCTGATATGTTCTCGAAAGATTAGACATAAAAAATAGATAAATTGAAAAAAGTACGTGGAAAAGATAACTAAAATATTATTCAATTACAAATACTCGCGGTAAACTAACCCAGCAGCCATGTTTGATGTTTATTACCGCTTTCCGAATTCAGTACACAAACACCCAGAATGCGCTGTTCCCCTATGCAACTTAGATACTAAATCGTTACAGCGCCAACAGCGGTGGGTAGCAGACAGTCGTTGAATGGGGTAGGCCAAAAGGTCATCAGTTTGCCTTCTCCATGCTGTTTTCACAATGAAAATCGAGCGAACGTTGTAAATACGGCTAGAATTTAAATTTTTGTTCGAGTTTACATGCAATCTGCTAATATATTTGTTTATTTCTGTGCATATACATTTCGTTCGTATTTACTTCTTTCTTTCGTGATCGGAAGACGATTATTAAAAATACAGCTGTAAATTGAAACCACTGTAGTTGCGTATTGTGAGCAATAAGTGGCAACAATGTCGGGCGACAATGAATTCAAGCGATTGACACATTGCCATGAATACACTTGATAACTGCTTGCAGACGT